AAAAAAAATAAGGACTTACCATATATATAATGAAGCTGTAGTGAGTTTGTGATTTTGTGATTGTTTTTCCATATCCAATCTGTATACCAATCAAACAGGTTTGCAGTAATGCATTTATTGATCACACAGTTACAAATAAACAATTGCTAACTAAACCAGAGACACTTTACTACTTTGAACTTCTGACTGATGCTAACGGCATTTCGTTGTTTCAACATATTGTTGATGTTATGTAATGAATGTGGTGAGTTGTCATTGAAGGGCATGTCTGCGGCATGGCGTCAAATGTAGACAATGCCCTGCGCATGTGTATCATCTTCAGACAAGCAAAAAAGCCTCTTGGAGCCATACTCCAAACCCAACAGGAAGTCAGCCATTTTGAATTTCGTGGTCATTTTTGGCGATTTTTTCGCGATTGTTAGTGATTGAACGAAGTTGTCATACAGTGTAAAAAAATATTGGCTGATATTGGGCTGAAGTTTGATGCTATTTGATGTCAGTGTCATTTGAAGCTTTAATGAAATCCTTTGGACAGACAGCTTTTAGCTAGATCTGACTACAAATCATGCTGAGGATGACAACTATTATGTAGAGAACACGTAATAACAAAAATTACATTCTCTCTTTTAAACCCAAACAGAGCAATTTATGAATTTCGGTCCAGGGTTGTGCGAGGCAATTTTTTTGCGTTTGTATTTGAACCGAAATTGTCAGAACAGTTAAAAAATATTGACTGAATATTGCTGAGTTTTGCTTTGACCGTACATTGAAGGGCTTAGAGACTTCTGACAGCTTTTAATCTAGATTCTAGAGTCACTGCTGGGAGAAAAACTATAATATAAAAGTATAGAAAATTCAGTTTCCTTTTGACCAATAGTTGGCCATTCTATATTACGTGCAATATTATCCACCATAAAGATGTGTTCCAGGGTGGCCGGCCCCCACAAAAACTCTTATACGACACTTGAAAGATTTGGTGCATTAGAAGTACACTTCAAGGAAGTTATGCAAATTCAATGTGTGTTTTCCAACCGTTTTTTGACCGGCCACCGCCGCGGATACGCCTCAAACACAAACTCAACCACATTAATCACATAACATATTGGTTCTTGCATTTTTCTGACCAAAATGCGTCAGCGTGGGGACTTATCAACAACCTGGCTAGGAGTAGAACATGAAAGTATAAAACATTTAATTCCTGTTGCCAGTAGGGGGCGCTATAACTATATCTGAATATTGTCATGTAGACGTGTTCAGGGTGGGATTCTTATCAAACGTATAAAGTTTCGTTGAGATTGGATCATGTTCGCTGAAGTTATGACAACTTCCTTTTTCATGGCAAATTGTCGTAATTGGACACCACGCCACGGGCACGCCGTTTGACTGAATGTCGTGAATAGCACTACTTTTAATCATTAATGTCCTTAGATTGAACTGAAAAATGTAAAAAATTACTTCAATGACTTTGCACGATTTGTGCTCAGGCCCTAATAATACATTTCTCTATAGTTTCCCAGAAGTTAAAGTCAAAGGCCTCATCGGTTCTACTGGGGGGAATCCCAGGCCTTTAAACATCTACGGTCCTCAACACGTAAGAGTCACTGAGGTCACTGGAGGGATTGGGGTGTGAACTGCACAGGAATTAATGTCAGGATGACATCGCACATATAACAGTACAACACACAACCCGCTCTGATCCCAGTTCATCAAATACCGACACTGTGTCACTCCTCATACATATAGACGCACACGCCACCCTTAAACCCTAGAGTCTGCATGAGACCACCAGGCTGCCCCAAAGCCTTTCTGCTTTAGGCACCAAAGCTACTTGGTTTAGAGAAAGATTGTGGTTTAGGTTAAAATAACTACGTTACATTATGTAAAT